AGCTGTGGGCAGGGGATCAGGCTGCCTGGCATCAGGTTGGCTGCCCAGGTCACTGTGGCTGCCACCAGTCTGCAGCTGACAGTGTTAACTCATTCATTCTCCCTTCCACACCGGCTTCCCTTTGGGGCACAGTCATGCAATCAGAGTCTCACTGGGTTCCCGGAGGGATGACCCAGGCCTGGGGTCCCTTGGCTTCTGCCATATGAGGCTGCAATGGTTTCCCAGGAACCATTTCACTAGTGCTGGCTGCAGACTGGATAGTCAACAGCATTACCTCCTCCCTACCCTGGACACTCCTCCCTGCCCTGGACACTCCTCCCTACCCTGGACACTCCTCCCTGCCCTGTTACATAAGGGCAGATCTATCTCTCCTGGATAGGGATGATGCCCCCATCCACTACCACGATCCTATCCAGCCAGCTGCAGAAACGACAGAAACGGCGGAGTGGAACAAATCCTTTCCTTCCTTGGGAGTGACTGGCATTAGGAGCCCCCTTGGTACTGAAATGCTGTCAGACACTTCTGACTGAGGCTGACGGGTACAGCTTCATTCATTCCTTAGCTCGGCAGCCTTGCCCACGTCCCCAGTGTGGAAGGATCCCCAGTGTCAGGAAGCCCAGCAGTCACTCCTCGGGCACATTTTACCTTTTCTGGAAGTAACTTCAGGGTTTCGAGGTAGCACTCTGAGCCACCTCCAGTGGCTCTTCTTGTGAGTGTGGGTGTCCAGGTGAGTGTGGGGGATGGTGGAGTTCTAGGCTTGGCTAGCAGCACATGTCTGTTTTCTAACTGGGTTTGGGACTAGAGGATAGACAGCCACCCTGCACAGTGTTCCAGCTTCCTGGCTCATTCCCATTGTGCATGTGGCCTGAAATACCTCCTGCGCCTGTTTTCATGGCTGCTCAAGTGAGCTTGGGAAGGCAGGGACCTCAGGGATGCTGCTACAGGCTCTTTGGATGGCTCCAGTCCAGTCTTCCATGAGGGAGTGGAGAGCCAGGAGCCCGCCTGCAGGGCCATGAGCTTGGCCACAGCTGCAAAGTCAAAGGACAAAGTCACTGCAGCCATTGGGCAAGGGCAGATATCCTTGGCTTAGCTGGAGCTGATGGACCTTCCAGGAGTATCAGTATACCCATGTGCACTTTACGTGGCCAAAGCAAGCAGAAGTAAACATTACTCCATCTCCACACAGTCAGAACACATGTGTCACGACCTATCATGTTGTGTCTATGTCAGAACATGTGTCACAACCTATCATATTGTGAGTGTGTATGTCAGAACACATGTGTCACGACCTATCATGTTGTAAGTGTGTATGTCAGAACACATGTGTCACGACCTATCATATTGTGAGTGTGTATGTCAGAACACATGTGTCGTGACCTATCATGTTGTAAGTGTGTATGTCAGAACACATGTGTCGTGACCTATCATGTTGTAAGTGTGT